CGTTTTTCGGATATGTTTCGACGGCATGCTTGTGTGCGACTTCGCTCCCACTCCAGAGCTCTCTCCCGGATTCTTTGAAGTGGGAAGCAGAAGTGGGAAGGGATTCGGCGTCTTCTGTGGGTCTCGATCGGCTTCTCTCATCACTTGGAACTGTCCTGTTTGAGTAAATCCACGACTGAATCTAACTACTGCCGGCATTTCAAATATCTCCGCGTTAGAAATCGGTAAATTAATGTGACCCGCAAGACCCTCTCTCATCGGCCGGCCCCTCGCCTGCGAGACGAAGTGGCTCTCGCGAACGAGTCTCCTCTCCGTATTCCCTTTCGCTCACTTACTGCTCCGCGTCCAAAGCGAAGAAAGAAACGGAAATGCCAGGTCGACTCATATCATTTCTAATCTAACCCTAATTCTCCGTCCTTCCACCATAGCTAGAACCTTTTTATTATCAATAATAAAAAAAAAACACAATTTGATTTCTCTCGTCCTCTAGTTTTTAAAGCGGTGAAGGAAAAGTTTCTGGAAAAGCACGCTTATCATGAGGAAATAACGCCGATAGGAGTACTCAGGGACTTTGTCCAGGAAATCATGGAGTTTCTCAGCAAACAACCATAAAATTTATGTCTTTGGACTGGTGTTCCTGCCGTTGTGCTACGAGTTTTCATCGACGAGCGTGAAGGGTGAACACCACACAGCGGAGCAGAAACGTACACTGAGGTACACATTTTGTGCGTTCTGAGGTACAAACAGAAGCCGTATAATACGCACATTAATACACATTAATACGCACGCACATTAATGAGCAGACGCACAAAAACGTATTTTTCTGCGATCCGCTCTTGACGCTGGGACCATCACGGCTTTCTACTTGGCTCGTACGCTTTCTGTTTTGGTCTGTCCTGAAGTGAAGAACGCAATCCTAAGTCGAATATGAACCACCTGAGATTAGATACGCGGAAACCTAGGCAAACATGCGTATTTGAGTATTTCCCTTGATAATCGACTATAAACTGAGGAAAGTAGAGTTTCGGTATGAACAAGAGACTGTAGAATTCGGTTAGTGTGAATGTATGAGTTCTCCCCACAAAAAATCGGGAGGCAAAAAAAGCCATAGCATAGAAGAGAAAAAACGGGAAAGTAGACAAAAAGCAGCTAGTAAAAACGTTAGCTTGCGCACAAAGTTCGCTCACGCTATCAGAACGGTAAAGCTCCTAAGAGGGAGTTTTGCGTGGCCCACCATCCCGGGAATCCTGCCGGAAAAGGATGCCAGCATCCTGGAAAAGTCCCGAACTGTAGGATGAATTCTCGAGGCACTTTCCTTAAAGCACTCAACCGGACGGCGGACCGGTTCGCGGGGGTACCATGGGACCGGCCTGCATGGTCTCAGTCCACATTTGGTTGTGGGGATGTCTGGAGGAGATGATGTCACCCGACCAGCTTCGGCCATATTCCTTTGGCCACGGTGAGAAAAGCATTATGTCGCATGTGATCCGATGCCGATGATCGTTTCGAATGGAGACAACTTCGGCACATCAATGCCCAAAAACGTTTCCGTGGCATGACGTTTAGTTAAGATGGGAACCATCAAAGCCGTATATATTCCTCATTGTTGTTTCAGCGGGTGATTCTAAAGCACACCTCCTGAAGGCATACGACTGTTTCATCCGCCCTCGTGGAGTGTATGCCAGTGATATATGGGGCCCGAATCTCAGAAAAACCCTTTCGGATCAGCTAGAGAGGGTGAACCGCACCGCCCACCAAATGCGACACGGGCGGACATGCTCATGCACGGACTGGAAGACGCCGAGACAAAGACGCCAAAAACAACTGGCATGCATTGCGAAATTGTCAACATACCGCGATGTGCCAAAAGCAAGATCGGAGCGGTACCGAAATAGCACCATACCCACTGTGTAACGCATCCTCCGCGAGAACCACAGACCCCGGCAGACAGGTATATCAACTAGCGAACTCTTCAGGACTACCACTCCACGCAATTTTTGCAGTTTTTTTTGTTCGACTACTGGGTTTCTCCTCTTCCCCTCCGTGTAGTATTATTCTATTTTGTCTTATTTCGTTCTAATTATTTACTGACCGATTTCTTAGTATAGTATCTCTTCTTCCAATCGCAGACCATTCCAATCCCAAGCACTGTGCCCCCAAAATTCATTTATGGAAAGTAAAAATGATGATGATAAAAGGAGAAGGAAACCAATTTCTACGCTTGAAACGTTTCGTATCTCTTATGAACATGCGACAAACACTACAGAAATTTAAGGACATAAAAAAGACAATGATGCAGCACTTGAAAACTTGAAAACGTGAGAAAAGAGTACCACTAAATTTTTAGTTGAAGGAATTCCTTGTGTGGAGGACCATTATCTCCAGGAGATGATGATCAGGTTCTAACAGATTATAAGGGATTAAACGGGGAAGATTGAACCGTCGGAGGAGGGGCTACGCCGCCCCAGAGTTCAGACGCGTAGAAACTTCCTTGCAGGAGAACGAGCTGCTTCTGATGCTCCACGACCTCCTTCACGGACGCGGTGAGGGCCTTCAATTCCTTCAGGATTGATTGCTGCGTTCTCAGGAGGGCCGCGCCGTCGTCGACGGACCTCCCTTCGGTCCCATTTTTCACCTCCGTTTTTCGGATCGGCTTCGACGGAACGCTTGAGCGCGACTTCGCTCCCACTCCAGAGTTCTCTCCCGGATTCTTTGAAGTGGGAAGCAGAAGTGGGAAGGGATTCGGCGGCTTCTCACTGTCTCGATCGGCTTCTCTAGTCATTTGGAACTGTCCTATTTGAGTCAATCCATGAATGAAACTATTACCAGCATTTCGAATATCTCCGCGATTGGAAATCGCTAAATTATTGTGATATAGATTTCTACTAATGGCTGCAACAGCACAGTTATTTAGTGGAAAGCATTCGTGAAAAGCCCAAAATATCAATGTGCAGCTGCACCACAACGGACCTTCCCACAAAAAAGGATTTCAAAACTATTTGAATTTTAGCGGTTTCATGTGTCTTCCTGCTCCTCTTACCAGCGGTTGAGCGCGACTTCGCTCCCACACCAGAGCTCTCTCCGGGATTCTTTGAAATGGGAGGCAGATATGGGAAGGAATTCGGCGGCTTCTCACTGTCTCGATCGGCTTCTCTCACCAATGGGAACTGTCCTGTTTGAGTAAATCCACCACTGAAACTAACTATTGCTGGCATTTCAAATATCCCCGCGTTGTAAATCGGTAAACTATTGTGATATATATTTCTACTAATGGTTGCAACAGCACAGTTAGTAAGTGAAGGCATTCGTGAAAACCCGAAAATATTAATGTACAGCTGCACCACCACGGGGCTTCCCACAAAAAAGGATTTCATAATTATTCGAATTTTTGCGCCCTGTTCTGGAGAGAGCAGGAAAGGTGGTATGCTCTCTACCCAGGGTTTGTAAATGTCTTCATGAAATGATTTGATCGTCTCTTTTCTTCTATACATTCCTTGAGGTGAGTCGCTCGATGGAATATCTGCAAAATGTATGTTTTGACTCAAGTGAGGGGAAAACTAATTAATTTTCAAGAGTGATATTCAACGGATCGGAAGAATGAATCAAGTGAATTTGATGCTTAGGGAGGGGAAAGAGAAGGAAAATGACTTTTTTAAAATCGGGGGAAAAAAAAAATATTTTCATAACTATAATTGACAGCAAAATGAAATAAGTTGGCTTCATTCATCTTTTTTTAATCGCGGGGAATGCATCGGGTCACGAACGCACTCACCGGCCGGGGCGGCGGCAGCAGGCGATTGCCGAACGGGAAAAGATTCCCGGCCGGCGTGGGCGCCTCGCAGGGATTCCCGCGATTCCCCGACGATCTCCAGGATGTTTGAATCGCGGCGGGAGGGCTGCCGGGGAGGGAGGCCGGCCTTCATCTCGACGACGGCTTTGACCTGCCGTCGCCTCGCGGCGTACTTCATCTGCCTGAACTTGGTTTTCACCTCCTCTCCGGAACGTTCGATGCCGGAGAGCGAGCACATGGCGAAGGCGACGACTTCCCAGGCTCTGCTCTGCTTCGTCGACGTGTTGGTCGCCGTGATGGGTCCGAGTAGGACTTCCTTCCGTTTTTTCACTTCGTCTAAAAGCACGGAGAGTTCCTCGAGCGTGAAATTCTTGCGCCGGAGCGACGCGGGAGTCGCCATCGTGCGGGTTCCCGGCGTGGTGCGATCTGCCGGGCCGGATGGCAGGGATGAAATGCGAGGAGAAGATAAAAGAGCGCGATGATAAGACTCGAGTGGGGGCTCATGAAGCTCTCGATCTTCCTTTTCTTCCGCCTTCATTCCCCACTTTCGTCACCTCTGCTCAAAGCCCCTTCACATCAGCACGTCAGAAACGTAAACTGCTGATCTCCCGACCCGCAAGACCCTCTCTCATCGGCCGGCCCCTCGCCTGCGAGACGAAGTGGCTCTCTCGAACGAGTCTCCTCTCCGAATTCCCTTTCGCTCACTTACTGCTCCGCGTCCAAAGCGAAGAGAGCAACGGAAAAAACAGGGCGACTCATCTAACTTCTAATCATGCCCCAATTCTCCGCCCTCCTGCCACCATTGCTAGAACCTTTTCACTATCAATACTAAAAAGCACCATTTGATTTCTCTCGTCCTCTAATTTTTAAAAAGCGGAGAAGGAAAAGCACGCTTATCATGAGGAAATAACGCCGATAACTCGAGGACTTCGTCCAGGAAATCATCGAGTTTCTCAGCAAACAAGCACTTTTGTTTTTGGATTGGTGTTCCTTCCGTTGAGCTACGAGATTTCATCGACGAGCTTGAAGGGTACGTTATGAGGTACAAACGGATGTCGTAAAATACGTTCGTCGAAATTGTACCGTCGCAAAAAAAAGTAAGTAAAATTTTTCACCCTTCTTATCTCTATTCAGAGGGATATACGACTGGGGGTGAATTCTTAAGGATCCTGTGCGTACCTCACCACGGGCATTAACGCGGTGGAAAGACTCGCCAACGCAACTTAAATTTTTAAGCTTAGAGGCGCTTTCATAATGAAACCGTCATGCGATACAACGTCTCCGACAGTCGGTGGACTGTCACGGCTGAGACGCGGAAGGCTCGCCAGCACGTCTCAACGAGACGAGCTGGCTGTCTCATAAACGCGCTTTCTCCATTCATCATGGAGACAGTAGGGACCTTACAAACAGTCCAAACTGCTTCTAAGGTGACGACCTCTCGTGTTTATTGAAAGTTGGC